AATGGCTGTAGGCAGGAAGGATCTCTTGTAAAGGTCCATCCCACAGTGGATCCTAAGAAACTGGCTGCAGATGTCGTCCGATCCGTCCACCCAGACTCAGCTGGCCTCTCGGTTCCTCCGGGCTGTAGGACCGCCCAAATGCCGTGCAGAACTCCTCCCAGTGTGATGGCCACTCCTCTCAGCAGTCTGCCGAGCTCCTCGTCGCTGCGGACAGCCAGCTGTAGATGCCGAGGGACCATCCTGTCCTTCCACTGTCATGAACAATGTTTCCTGCTAGTTCCAGGATCTGTCCAAAAATTGTCCAAAATGTCTTGGTATGCTGAAGCAGTCAGAGTTCCTTTCACTGGAACTAAGGGGCCAAGTTCAGCTTCTGAAAGACAACCCCACACCTTAATCCCCCCTCCACCAAACTTTGCACTTGGCACAATGCAGTCAGACAAGTATCGTTCTTCTGGCAACCGCCAAACCCAGACTCGTCCATCTGATTGCCAGATGGAGAAGTACAATTCGCCACTCCAGAGAACGCTCCTCCACTGCTCTAGAGTCCAGTGGCGGCACGTTTTACACCACTGCATCCGATGCTTTGCATTGCAATTGGTGATGTATGGCTTGGACACAGCTGCTCGACCGTGGAAACCCATTCCATGAAGCTCTCTGTGCACTGTTCTTGATCCAATCTGAAGGCCACATGAAGTTTGGAGGTCTGTAGGGACTGCAGAAAGTTGGAGACTTCTTCACACTATGCTCTTCAGCTTCTGCTGACCCCACTCCATCAGTTTACGTGGCCTACCACTTGGTGGTTGAGTTGCTGTCATTCCCAAACACTTCCATTTTCTTATAATACATCCGACAGTAGAATATTTAGGAGCGAGGAAATTTCACGACTGGATTTGTTGCATAGGTGGCATCCTACCAGTTCCACACTGGAATTCACTGAGCTCCCGAGAGTGACCCATTCTTTCACAAGTGTTTGTAAAAACAGTCTGCATGCCTAAATGCTTCATTGTATACACCTGTGGCCATGGAAGTGATTGGAACACCTGATTCTGATAATTTGGATCAGTGAGCAAATACTTTTGGCAATGTAGCATATATATATATATATATATATATATATATATATATATATATATATATATACACGAACCGGATTCCAAAAAAGTTGGGACACTAAACAAATTGTGAATAAAGACTGAGTGCAATGATGTGGAGATGCCAACATCTAATATTTTATTCAGAATAGAACACAAATCACAGATCAAAAGTTTAAACTGAGAGAATGTATAATTTTAAGGGGAAAATCTATCGTTTCCAAATTTCATGGCATCAACAAATCCCAAAAAAGTTGGGACAAGTCCATTTTTACCACTGTGTGGCATCCCCCCTTCTTCTTACAACACTCAACAGACGTCTGGGGACAGAGGAGACCAATTCCTCAAGTTTAGAAATAGGAATGCTCTCCCATTCATGTCTAATACAGGCCTCTAACTGTTCAATCGTCTTGGGCCTTCCTGGTCGCACCTTCCTCTTTATGATGCACCAAATGTTCTCTATAGGTGAAAGATCTGGACTGCAGGCTGGCCATTTCAGTACCCGGATCCTTCTCCTACGTAGCCATGATGTTGTGATTGCTGCAGAATGTTTTTTGGCGTTATCGTGTTGAAAAATGCAGGGTCTTCCCTGAAAGAGATGACGTCTAGATGGGAGCATATGTTGTTCTAGAACCTGAACATAGTTCTCTGCATTAATGGTGCCTTTCCAGACATGCAAGCTGCCCATGCCACAAGCGCTCATGCAACCCCATACCATCAGTGATGCAGGCTTCTGAACGGAGTGTTGATAACAACTTGTGCTATCCTTGTCCTCTCTGGTCCGGATGACATGGCGTCCCAGTGTTCCATAAAGAACTTCAAATCGTGACTCATCTGACCACAGAACAGTCTTCCATTTTGCCACACTCCATTTTAAATGACCCCTGGCCCAGTGCAAACATCTGAGCTTGTGGAGCTTGCTTAGAAATGGCTTCCTCTTTGCACTGTAGTTTCAGCTGGCAACAGCGGATTGTGTTCACTGACGATGCTTTCTGGAAGTATTCCTGAGCCCATTCTGTTATTTCCTTGACAATGGCATTCCTGTTTGAGGTGCAGTGACGTTTAAGGGCACGGGGATCACGAGCATCCAGTATAGTTTTACGGCCTTGACCTTTACGCACAGTGATTGTTCCAGATTCTCTGAATTTTTTGATGATGTTATGCACGGTTGATGATGATAACTTAAAAGTCTTTGCTATTTTACGCTGGGTAACAGCATTCTGGTATTGTTGCACTATCTTTCTGCGCAACAATGGTGGAATTGGTGATCCACTTACGATCTTGGCTTCTGAGAGACACTGACACTCTGAGAAGCTCTTTTTTACCCAATCATGTTTTCAATTGATCTAATTAGTGTTAATTGGTCTTCCAGCTGTTCGTTATATGCTCAATTTCCTTTTTTCCAGCCACTTATTGCTACTTGTCCCAACTTTATTGGGATTTATTGACACTGTAAAATTTTGAATCAACATATTTTTCCTTTAAAATGTTACATTTACTCAGATTAAACTTTTGATCTTTCATCTATGTTATATTACAAATGGATGTGTTCACTACTACTGATATATATATATATATATATATATTTATATATATATATATGTGTGTGTGTGTGTGTGTGTGTATGTATATATGCATGATTCGTGGAAGAGTGGAGGTGTGATACGCTGCAGGAAGAAGCTTTTTCTGCAGCTGTGGGCTGCACACAGACATGTGCATCTGTGCAACAGGTGCTAAATAATTTAAAATAATTCATTTTAAATAAAAAATTCTATGCCAATCCTGCGGCTCATCCATCATCAGCCAATTGTGTGTCATGTCCAACCTTACTTTGAAAAACTGTGATAGAGCAAGTCCGCGCAAAACGAACCACGAAGTAGCGAGGGACTACTGTTTATGTAAACTTAGATGGTCTGTTGGCAACATACCTCATGAACAGCTTGTTGGATTTGTTTGAAACTCACAGAAAGTAATCATCAGATGTATCTCTAGAATTGATTAATGTTTGGAGCCATTTTGATTCAAGATGACTGCCACAGCAACCTCAGCAAACAAAATTACATTTAACTCAAGCATTCTTTGAGATATTGAGCCCAAATTTGGTACGTTGGTAGCTGAGAGGGAGTTTTTATGCATTCCTGATGCAAATCAAATATCCAAGATGGTCACCTTAGCTAAAAGGGAAAAAATATGATGAGTCAGTCATTTTTAGAGCTATTCAGCTGAAATTTGGTGTATTGGTAGCTGAGAACAATCCCTAATAGACTGACTGCAAATCAAAAATCCAAGATGGCTGCATGAGCTAAATAGGACAAATACCATAAATCGGACATTTTTTGAGTTATTCAGCTAAAATTTGGTGTGATGGTAGCTGAGAGCAATGCACATTAAATACTAAATCAAATTAAAATTCAAGATGGTCGTAAAAGCTACATTTAAATTGCTTTAACTCAGCTATTTTTGCTCATATAGAGCTGAAATTTGGTGAGGTTATTGCTGAGAACGTTCCCAATCACATACTGAGTCCAAATCAAAAATCCAAGATGGCAACTATAGCTTAAAAGAAAAAAAGAGCCTGTGTCAACAAATCTTAAAAAGAAAAGTAAAAATTAAAGAAATAAATAAATTTTCTATTCTGTTAAGTAGCAAATTATTTTAAAATAGTTTCTTATAACCTTTGTTAACAGCAGCCTTTTGCAGACAAAATTTATTCCCAGTTCTTTTGTCTGATGCTGTAAAAATTCTTGGAAAATCCTTTACAGAATTATAAAACAGCCTTTTTGCCCAAAGAAGGTTATTGCCCAAAAGCTATTAGATAAGAATTACTTTGTGAAAGAAAGGAGGGCTTGCTCAAGACTTTTGCAAACTCCTATTGTAGTTTTGTTTAAAACACAAATTGCATTTTGAGAGAGTGACAAATGTCTCATTTTAGACACGAAACAATAAGAGTTGTGTTGTACCACAATGCCTTCACTGGCGCCTGTTGTGAGGTAAATGTTGTCTGGATCGCAGGGAACACCGCCGTCCCGCCGCTCAATGTAACGAGCCACATCCTGGCGCACAGATTCTATACCTTGACTGGGGCTATAGGAGCCTGAGGGGGAAATACAGAGATTATGCTTTAGTATAGTTATAAAAATGAAAAATCAACAGATGTATAACATCCAGCTGATATAGAAATATGATAATTAGCAACCAGAGTATTTGCTAAAAGCTTGTTGAGTTGACACATCATAATCAATCACATTCATACGCACCCATACTGTTTCCTCCACATGAGTTCAGAATATGACATGCTCTACTTTTAGCATCTTCTGGGAATGTGCTGTCACGCAGCAGTTCAGGGCAGGAGCAGAGAGCCAACACCTAAAAACCAACACAATGGATGGGCAGAAGGATGTGAAAGCACAGCCTCAGTGCAGTTAAACAAACTGGCTCAAATTTATCTAAGGAAGGACTAATCAGTTCTAAATAGAACAGGAGGGGAGGGCTTGGAAGCTAACCTGCCGAAAGAAAGTGATCGGCTGCTGGCCCATGGCGTGGGCATCACCGATGTTGGCTTTGATGACTTCTGCGAAGGGTTTCTTCCTCCCCTGATAAATAGAAAGATAAATGTACAAAATGTTCTGAGGAAACGAACGTTTCTGATCAGAATATTTTTACATACAGTAGTCTCGCGCTACTTCACGGTTCGACTTCTGTGGACTCATTATCGCAGTTTGTAGACATACAGTTCAAATTATTGTACAAAAAAATTGTACAGGACACATGATTGTCAACTTTAATACTACTCACGTGACTGGGACATTACTGGATACAGTACTGTAAAGTAAAAAGTTAACGAAAATATAAAAGACTTCGGACAGGCGGTGCCATTTTACTTTATACTTTATACCCCACACTTTATTAATCCCAGAGGGAAATTAAATTATTAATCCCAGAGGGAAATTAAATAAAATAAAGTATTTTTGAATTTGAATTTTGTAGTTTTCTCCAGTAAGCCTCCACTGTATTCCCACTCATAATGGCCACATTTCTCAGAGGGCAACAGGGCCCTGCCCAGAAGCTCCATTTCATTCTGCTGAAAAAACCCAAAGGCAGAGTAAAGTTTTGATCTGATTGGCGTCCCCAGAACAGAACCAGACTACAAGATCTATTGTGAATCTTGAGAGCTAGTAGCCCACCCACGTGGACCTCCGTGCAAATGCGCATGGCCTAAAGTCCGGCGCTCCATATAAAGCTCAATGGGACTTTTTTCGTGTTTTTCAACGAGCCAACAACAAGCCATCAGCAGACGCATGCAGCCATGGTTCATCTGAAGCTCAATGAGACATTTTTCATCGTTTCATCCGGCCAATGACAAGGATCTCCGAGTGAGGACGCGCTGGTGTAGTGTTCTATGATTCAGGACATACTGTCCCTCAGAAGTCCATAAACTGTCCTCAGAGACACGGTAACTAAACTCATACACACCTTCTCTGTGTACTAATCTGTTAGAAATGACTCAGCCTTCTGATCCTGGCCCCAAATTGACTGTATGGAAATTAACCCTCTGTACTCACTATTCTATTCCTGGGTAAAACAAGATGACTCCTCATAAGATTATAATCCCCTCTGTGGTAATCATCCCTCCTTCCTGAGGAAGACGGACAATGAGTCTCCGAAAGAAGTCGATATCAACAATTGAACAGAACTTTGCCATACCCCCAGAACTTTGGTTACCATTGTAACGAGTGGGTGTTACCCACTTGAACACAGAGCTTCAAACAGAAACCCTGTTGTTTGCCAGTATTGTGTGAAGAAAACCAAAAAAAAAATTTGCATCTGTGAAGAAATTGTGTCATCATGTAAACAAAGTCACTGTATTATCTCTAAAAGATTGAGGTGTTATACAATTAAAATTAATTAATGCAGATTGGTTTACACCCACCGTTGGTAAGCTGCCTTGATTGGATACAATTGAATAGGAACCATCCCTTTCTAGAATCAGGTAAAGAAGGCATGGAAGGCAGGGTCTCCAGAGTTTGTTGCACAAGTGTTGCTGGAAAGTGAAGAGTCGCTGGCTGAGAGTTGGCTCTGAGCCTGCCCCAGGAGTCAGCAGGAAGCCAGGCTCCATTCCTTTTTACCCTCGGACAGGGCGAGCCAGCTGAGAAATAAAGAGGCGTACATAGAATTTTCTCAAACATCCCAGAAAGATGGTGCTGTCTGGCCGGATGAAGTTCTGGAGGAGTCCATTACTTTCTGCAATGACAAATACCAGCCTCCGTTCATCGTATCCATAATGGGTAATGAGATGGACAGCTCTCCATTAGGACAAACATCTTTCTTCTGATGAAAGGAACATCTCTGAGTGCCAACGAAGTTTAGACACCTTTAGTTTATGACTCTGAGATAAAGTTTACCTAAATTCTAATGTTAATCATAAAATGGAATAACATCTCTTCTCAAAGGTTTAAGCTCTCTTATATTACACAAAGTTTGTTTTCTCAGTCATCCAGGTATATAACAACAAAAAAGGTTGAATCATGTCATCTGGACTTCGTTTTTTTTTGTTAAAAAAGTCCAGATGACATGATTCAACCTTTTTTGTTGTTATATACCTGGATGACTGAGAAAACAAACTTTGTGTTTTTGAAACCATTAGTGAAAAGGCCAGACTTCAGGGGTATCTGAGGCAGGCTTGAAACACAAGAGTCAGGGTGGTTTCTGGGTAATACCAGATGGCTAGGCCTCAGACTGACGAAGCCTCTTGGACGAGGGGCGAAACGTTTCTTTTTAACAAAAAAAACGAAGTCCAGATGACATGATTCAACCTTTTTTGTTCTCTCTTATATTATTTATCCTTCTGAACAAACCCTATTTGGTTATCCATTCATATTTTATATTTTGCTATAATTGCATATTGTTGTTGTTCAAACTGAAAATAAACATTGCAGAATTAAGATTTTAATTGATCGGGTTTTGTGTCTTTATTTGAATGAGGGGAATCGCAACATTGCCAAGAATTCACCATTATTACTTTAATCGAGGTTGACTCGCATTCACTATTTTGATTGTACACCAAGTGTTAATGTTAAAGAGGTGACCAGACCACTTTATCTAAGTATCCCACTACACTGGTGAGTAAAATTTACTAGCTACACATAAGTACACTGTTAAATAAATTAGTAGGTTTAAGTGTTTAGATCATTGCAAGAGTGTGAGAAGGGTTTGTAAAACATATACACACATATGTATACATACACACACACTAATATATATATATATATATATATATATATAATATATATATATATATATATATATATATATATACACACACACATATATACACATATATTATATATATATATAATCTATAATATCTATATAATATATAATATCTCTGGTCTAGAGAGTGATGTTAAAAATGCCAAGTCAATGTGTACATTTAAGAAAAAGATCAAAACTGAATTGTTAGAAAAGTATATATGAAGTAGCTTAGTGCGTGTTTTGTATTAGAATTAGAAAAATTAGGAAGAGATTCATTTTGTTCTGTTACTTGAAAATTATTATGATTGAAATAATTGTTTGAAAAAAGGGGCAGATATAATAAGATTTTTTCTTCTTTCTGCTGCCTTTCATTTTAAATCTTTTGTATCTTTTTTATATTGTTATGGAATTGTTTTGTACTTTTTTAAAATTAATAAACTTTATACCATACCATATACAGGTCCTTCTAAAAAAATTAGCATATTGTGATAAAGGTCATTATTTTCCATAATGTAATGATAAAAATGAAACTTTCATATATTTCAGATTCATTGCACACCAACTGAAATATTTCAGGTCTTTAATTGTTTTAATACTGATGATTATGGCATACAGCTGATGAAAACCCAAAATGCCTGTCCCAAAAAATTAGCATATTTCATCCCACCAATGAAAGACAAGTGTTTTTAATACAAAAAACACTAACCTTCAAATAATCATATTCAGTTATGCACTCAATACTTGGTCGGGAATCCTTTTTCATGAATGACTGCTTCAATGCGGCGTGGCATGGAGGTAATCAGGCTGTGGCACTGCTGAGGTGTTATGGAGGCCCAGGATGCTTCGATAGCGGCCTTAAGCTCATCCAGAGTGTTGGGTCTTGTGTCTCTCAACTTTCTCTTCACAATATCCCACAGGTTCTCTATGGGGTTCAGGTCAGGAGAGTTGGCAGGCCAATTGAGCACAGTAATACCATGGTCAGTAAACCATTTACCAGTGGTTTTGGCACTGTGAGCAGGTGCCAGGTCGTGCTGAAAAATGAAATCTTCATCTCCATAAAGCTTTTCAGCAGATGGAAGCATGGAGTGCTCCAAAATCTCCTGATAGCTAGCTGCATTGACCCTGCCCTTGATAAAACACAGTGGACCAACACCAGCAGATGACATGGCACCCCAGTGACTGTGGAAACTTGACACTGGACCTCAAGCAATGTGAATTCTGTGTCTCCTCTCTTCCTCCAGACTCTGGGACCTTGATTTCCAAAGGAAATGCAAAATTTACTGTAATCAGAGAACATAACTTTGGACCACTCAGCAGCAGTCCCAGGTGAGATGTTTCTGACGCTGTTTCTGGTTCAAAAGTGGCTTGACCTGGGGAATGTGGCACCTGTAGCCCATTTCCTGCACACACCTGTGCACGATGGCTCTGGCTGTTTCTACTCCAGACTCAGTCCACTGCTTCCGCAGGTCCCCCAAGGTCTGGAATCGGCCCTTCTCCACAATCCTCCTCAGGGTCCGGTCACCTCTTCTCGTTGTGCAGCGTTTTCTGCCACACTTGTCCCTTCCCACAGACTTCCCACTGAGGTGCCTTGATACAGCACTCTGGGAACAGCCTATTCGTTCAGCAATTTCTTTCTGTGTCTTACCCTCTTGCTTGAGGGTGTCAATGATGGCCTTCTGGACAGCAGTCAGGTCGGCAGTCTTACCCATGATTGCGGTTTTGAGTAATGAACAAGGCTGGGAGTTTTTAAAAGCCTCAGGAATCTTTTGCAGGTGTTTAGAGTTACGTCGTTGATTCAGATGGTTAGGTTAATAGCTTGTTTAGAGAACCTTTTCATGATATGCTAATTTTTTGGGACAGGCATTTTGGGTTTTCATGAGCTGTATGCCATAATCATCAGTATTAAAACAATTAAAGACCTGAAATATTTCAGTTGGTGTGCAATGAATCTGAAATATATGAAAGTTTCATTTTTATCATTACATTATGGAAAATAATGACCTTTATCACAATATGCTAATTTTTTTATTTTTTTTTTTGTGAGAAAAAAAAATGCTAATTTTTTGAGAAACACCTGTATATGTGTGTATATGTATATATATATATATATATATATATATATATATATTAAAATAAAAACATTGCTGCTTTGCAGAATTTCACAAGAACAGCCTTCACAGCACACATTCACTCAAAGTAGTAAAGAACTATCCACTCAGTTTGTTTCACTGTCTTTCATATGTTTTTCCTGAATTTGATTCTAACCTAAATTTTGTAAAACGTTTCCTAAGAAGCCAATTACTCATGGATTTACTAGTGAGAAAAAATAACTTCATATAAA